GACTAAAAATAAGAAAGGCTTTGACAAGCATAAAGAAGCTTTTATTCTTACATCCATATATGCTATCAAATTAAGAGCTATATGACAATGTTTTATAGGACCTCTAATATGTATCTAATTTGTGAGATACATGTCTAATTTATAAGATAAGTTTCTTACATATGTGCTATATGATTAACTTGTACCACAAGCTACCAACATGTGCAATACATGACTAAGTTTTCAATCTATCAATTAATTATAAATATATATGAAATCAAATCTCTATCTATAAGACTTCCAAAAAATGTTTCTACAAGATACTATCAAATCTATCTACATTTATCTTCTATCTGATATTTTTTATTTAGGCATCTATGTATGTCCATCATATTCACATCACAAGTAAGGTTATAGAATTCAATAGTACATGTGGTAGTTGATTGAGATCTTTGTTGTAAAAATAGGAATTTTTTTATTACTATTTTTATTATTTTCTTCAAATACAATCATAAGTATTTTTAAGAATAAATTTAGATTATATATGAATTATGAATTTTTTCCTATTAAAAGTAAAATCCAAAAAATAGCACTTTAAAATAGAAGTGTATCTATGAATCTAATTAAAAAAATCCATCAAGATATTGGAAAGGATCTAATTTTAAATAGTGCTTGACTTGTTATAAAAATCTATAAAATTTTGATCTTGTTCTATTAAACTTTTTAAGCATATTAATCCTTATTTCTTTTATATTTGTTGTAGCAAGACTTTTTAAATTCAATTGTGAGATTGATCTACTTGATTAAAATTAGAGTGACTATTATCAAGTACAAACAAACAAGATGTTTTTAAAATACTAAGAAGAAGAAAGGCATTAACAAGAGTGAAAAAGGCTTCACTCTTGCGTCTATATATACTATCTAATTAAAAGGTGCATGACAATCTTCTATAAGGCCTCTAACACATGTCTAACTGCTTGAAAAAATCTCTAACTTGTAAAAGAAGTTTTCAACATGTGCGCCATATGGCCAACTTTTATTATAAGTCACTAATATATGCAACATGTGACAAATTTCTTGAATAAGTTTTCAATCAAACAATCAACTTTGAATATATATAAATTCAAATCTAACACATATCAATCTTTTATTCTCTTACCATAGAATGTTTCCAAAGAATTTTTAGAAGAAAAAATTCTTTTTTCTTTTAAAAAGATATTGTATTTCTAGTTCTTTTGTGGAATGTTGTGAATATTTCTCTTTGGTTTATTCTCTTCTTTTGAGGTTTCTTGATAAAGTTATACTTTTTAGTATTTTTTTCATAAGATACACATATAATAAATTAAATTTTGTAACCAACTTTTTAAACTTTTGGAGGTTATATTTATATTTGATCATATTACAAATTAAATTCTTCAATTTATTAGTCATAAAAAGTTTAACTATGGTGTCAATTCTATGTTTATTAATATTATTCATTGTTAGATTTTGTATAAGATATTATTAATTTCACTATAGTTTTTGCTACTACCACCATAACCTACCATCCATTCAACACAAAATTCTTCATAATCTTGTACACTCCTTTCAAATGCTCTTCTTGTACATTCCTCTTATATGCAATGTGTCCATTGTTCTCTCAACTTTTTGTACAACATTTCTTTCTTATGGAGCTTAATATCACTAGTACCTTTAAAAACTATGATATTTTAATTTCCTACAAGTAAAAGACATATCTAATTGCAGATTATGCAATTGTAATAAAATATTTTAATAATTAACATATACACAATAAATACAAAAACTAACAATTTAAACAAATCTTTTGTAGAAAAAAAAAGAGAAGAAAGAAAAACTTGTTTATGACCATTAATGTAATAATAATGTATCATGTCATTATTTTTAATCTATATTAAAAAAAACATGCTACTTATTAATTTCAATTAATATATGCCAATGTATCCTTTGTTATTAGTATCTATTAAATAAGAATTATAGATTTTTTTAATAATTTATATTATAACTAACTATTTTTAATTTTTATAATACATAGAAGATTATAACTTTTCTTACATTCTTTCTTACTTTACATTTTGTTTGGTCTACTCATACCTATAATAAAATAAAAATAAATAAACTAAGTCTTAAAGATGGATCTACTTGGTAAATTACTTACTAATTTGACCACCAATTTGACTACCAATCTAAAATAATTTCTTTTAGTATAACAATAATTCAATGATAAGATATTTATAGTTAAAAAACTTATTTTTGTATCACTACTTTATTTGAAACACTATTACACTTAAACATATTCCTACTCATTTTAATAAATTACCAATTACTTAAATGATTTAAACAACATTATACTTAATAGTTACAACTTTTATAATTTTAAATTTATGTTTCAAATAGACTAATAAGAAGATTTTTATAAGAAGTGAACCACATGTTTAGACTAGTTTCAATTGTGTTTTTGATCATTAAAATTTTATATTTGAAATTGGTTAATAATCTCTAAAATTAAAATACTAAAGCAAAGCCATGTCAATGAAGCTTCTAAGAAACTTATCTATAAGATATTATCAAATTTATCTATTTTTTTTTTTTTTTTTTTTTTTTACTTCTATCTACTCATATTATCTAAATAATTATTAGAATAAATATGGATGTCTGTGATAGGATGCCTTAGTAATCAAATCTAAAGAAAATTTCAAAAATATAGTAATTCGAGCAAAATCATGCTGATATTTGTTCAAAATTTCAAAAAGACCTTACAACATATCATCTCTTTTTAAATTGTAGATCTCTTCCACAAAAATATAAAATCTTTAAACATAGCATCAATCAATTGTAACTATTACAATTCTAACATAATGTGTAAGAATCATAGCTAAAAATATTGAACTATGAACCAACAATGATCAAAATTTAAAATGCAATAACATCTATGTAATTTTAAATTAAATGATATTCTTCAAAAGAACAGAAGCAATATATTGAAGAATCATACATAAAGAATCAAACACAATGTATGCACAATAATTATATAATATTATTTGACTTTAATAAAATAAATTAAGAAATAAAGTATGCATTTTGAATAAATTCACATATTTAAAAGAAAACATTACAAAGAAGCATGCAAATCCTTTAAGAATTGTGAAGAATAAAAATAATATAAACATTATCTTAGAAACAAATATTGAAGCCATTTATTTGCAATCGATTTCAAATGACAAGAAATAAGAGTGACTATAGATCTCCAAGTTGGCCTTTAAATGGAGGCAAATTTATATTCTACATACATATACATAAGTATTCTTTGTGCTTTGTAGAGGAATAGTGAATGGAAAATAGAAATCAAGGAATAAAGAACAAGAAATAAGAATAACTAGGTAAAGATTTCTTTTGGCTATACACTTGCACATATGCTTTGATATGTGGATTAGATCTTGAATCAAGTGGTATTTTGTTGATTTCGACAATCTAATACAATTAAACGCCACCAATATGAATTTTACTCATTTTGGAGTACCTTCACACGTCAATCTTTGGGTGACTCTCTCACCAAAAAATGTTTTCAAAGAATTTTTGGAGGAAAAAAATTCTTTTCTCTTCCAAAAAGTTATTGTACTCTTAGCTCCTTTGTAACATTTTGTGAATATTTCTTTTTGGTCTATTCTCTTCTTTTGATGTTTTTTAATAAAGTTATATTTTTTAGTATTTTTAGTATGTATGTATATATATATATATATATATATATTTTCATAAGATACATGTGTGATAAATTAAATGTTGTAACAAACTTGTTAAACTTTTGGATGTCATATATTGTTGTTTACATAACATTCAAAAAATCTATTATCATTTTTCTCATTCTATCATTGATACAAAAGTTATCATATTTGACAAATATTTTAATTTAAGAATGTTTTAATTTAAGGATGTGCTAAGGAGGCTATTGCTAGATATCTATTCTTTATATCCTCAAATGTTTTGACCTCTTTTGTTATTAGAGCAATGTAAGATGTAGCTTTTACGTGCAAAACATGTGTATTTGTCTATTATTCACTAAACTACAATAAAGTACTTGATCATATTAGAATGATTCTAATTACAAATATTATAAAATGTGATCCTTCTATAATAATCTAAATGTGATGATGTGGGTTATATTGATTTTAGACTTGACATCAAACATTCATTAATAAAACTGAAATTATAAAACTAACACTAGTCTCTAAGATTATCACATGTAATTGGAACTTGACCAACTCCCATCAGCTACCAAGCTTGATGTTGGATTATGAAAGGGTGAATAAATCACAATGAACTACTAATGGATGAATGCATAAATGAGCTAAAAGAGTCCTTTTCCATGGGGGGAATAAAAATGAGAGATACAAAAGAAGTAATAGATTGTGTGGAAAGGGAAGCAGCCCCTTCTTCTTAAAAGAAGAATGTTACCATGATGGCTT